TTTTACAGGCTAAGCAGCCATCTTAATTATCAGTTGGTAACAGCCTGGTAGTTGTGTTGGTATTTGCTACCCTTGTGTACCTGCTTGCCAAGTGCTGTTTTAGTCCAGGGTCTGAGTATGGACGTTTGAGGCCTTGCAAGATACGGTCTGTAGCGAGCTCGGCCACCTGAACGTTTCAACCTCCAGGGGAGGCTGCTGGTTCTCCTGCACTCAGGAGCACCGGCCCGGCCTCACAATCCACCAGTCTGTGGCCATGAGTCTTGTTTCACCTCCCCGCGGGCTCCCTTTGCTATCCGGCAGCGGGACAGTCCACCACAGCCCGTGCTCGTTTCCGGTCTTCCTCTCCAGCCCCTCGCAGCAGGAGCTGCAGTCTCACCTCCCGGGCTGGCTCATGTGGATTCGCCACGTGCAACCCACAACCCAGGCAGGCAGAGTGGTGGACTGGCTTCCAGGTGGGTGAGTAGGCCGTAGAGTATTTCCCGGGGGACAGAGCTGAGCAGGATTAAGCTAAACAAGTGGGTGTCTAAATTTGTGAATGGAATGGGGGGCTCACAGTGCATCACCACATCTTCGAGCAAAATACAGCTATGAATTTTAGGGGAGATGGGAACCACCTTACAGAGGTGGAACTTGACTTATTTAATTTGGTGTTACAGGATACGTTGGAGGAAGTCATGGCTTTGGTGTTGGGGTGGCACCGCTGATTTAGATGTTAAACCAGCGGGGTGTGTGGTGGTATATAGTCCTTGTCAACTGAGGATTGAACCAGAGGTCCTGGGAAAGTGGATGGGTGTACAGTTATGGATAACACCCAATTATCAACTAGTGGTTAGTATTATGAGAATGGAAGGCCTTGTGCTGGTTGGAATGAGGGGGGAGGGCAGCTGCCCAAGTGAATGTTTTTGATTGGCAAGGTAGAATGTGACGTGTGTCATATATATTTACGAGTAAGTTATTTATATAGGATGTTTGTAGTGGAATGGACCCTCACAAAACTACTTTTATTCCATTTATTGGCTGTCCATACACTCCCCTGTTACAGTACTATGTTTTTACCCTTGTTATTTCATGTGGTTCCGCTTTGTTCGTTCTGGAGACTTTATACGAACGGTAGTCTCCCAAATGAGGACCACCGTTGTGCCCCATTAGAATGTTCACACCAGCCACTTAAGTGCAAAACCGCAAGGGGAACCATTAATGAGTTCTTCTCCTGGGTGACTGCCATTTCGTATAAACAAACATGTGGCTGAGAGAATGGCGGCCATATTGTCTCCGGAACGAGGGAGTAGTTATTGCCCATTCCTGTTCCCGACTACCTACACGAACGGCTTTTGGGAGATATAGACTACCGAACAGGAGGAGCATTTGTATCCTGAAAGCAAGAGATTCCCTTGTATGGCTTTTGCACAAGAACCCCATGACGGAGACCGGCCAGGACAACTAATCTTCTGGAACTATTTTGAGCAGCGCCTCGTGTCTGACTGGTCAAATATTCACCACAATGCCATTCCCGTTCTACCAAACTGATCTGAGTGATCCTTGGATAAGTCGGTCACTCAGATCAGGGCAATCAGGGGATGTGCTTTGTGTGGGGTTCCTAGGTATGATGGGGGACTTTTGGGATATTAGATATTTTGTGGAAGTTTTGTGCCTCAGAGATAATTAAGTTAGAGAAGTTTACTCAGGAAATGATCTCTCAAGCACAAAGGACCTTGGGATTGAAACCCCTGCATTTTCTGCCTGTTAAACCCTCTGCATGGGATTTGGCATAAAAGCTGTGTATGTGGAAATAAGATTCAGTTATACCCCCAGAGCTGATTGTCATCCAGTTGCTGCGGGTGAGGTGGGAGATTCTTGGATTATATTGATTGTTCCTGACTGTATTTAGTTTACCTAAATCATTTTCCATTTTGCTTATCCCTCCTGGAACATCAACCCTGTTACATATCTTAGTACCATCAGCAAAAACACATTCCTTACCATCAAGACCTTCTGCAATAGCACTAATAAAAATATTAAAGAGAATGGGTCCAAGTACAGAACCCTGAGGTACCCCACTGGTGACAAGCCCAAGCTATGAATATACTCCACTTGACTACAACACTCTATTGCCTGTCACTCAGCCACTGCCTTACCCATTCAACAATATCGGAATCCAAACTTTTGCAATTTATTGATAAGCCTTCTATGTGCAACAGTGTCAAAAGCCTTACTGAAATCTAGGTAAGCAATGTCTACTGCACCACCCTGATCTATAATTTTAGTTACCCAATCAAAAAAATCAATAAGATTAGTTTGGCATGATCTCCCTGAAGTAAACCCATGTTGTCTCTGATCTTGAAATCCATGTATTTTTAGATGTTCAACAATCCTATCCTTTAACATGGTTTCCATTACTTTCCCCACTCATGAAGTAAGGCTTACTGACCAATAGTTGCCCAACTCCTCCCTACTACCTTAACTTCCAATCTTCTGGGACTACTCTTGTTAACAATGATTGGTTAAATAAATCTGTTAATGATTTTGCTAGTACACCACCACAATTGAGATCCAAGAGATGCTCCAACTGGGGGTTATTGAGCCCTCTAACTGCCCCTGGGCCTCCCCAGTAGTCCTCGTACCGATACGGGATGTTACGACCCGGTTCTGTGTGGACTACCGGAGGCTAGATGACAAGACTATGTCAGATGCCTATCCGATGCCTAGGATAGATGAGCTCTTAGACTGGATGGCTAGGGGCCAATACCTCACTACAATTGATCTTTGTAAGGGGTATTGGCAGATCCCCTTAGCCACCAAAGCCATCCTAAGTATTTTGTCACCCTATTCGGCCTGTACCAATTTAAGGTCATGTCGTTTGGGATGAAAAACTCTGTCTACTTTCAGCGGATGGTGGACCGGCTCCTGTATGGGTACCAGGACTATGCCTGCACATATCTTGATGATATTGCAATTTTCAATCATACCTGGAGGAGCAAAAGATATATATTAGGGCAGCGCCAAAAATTCAGTGAAGTATTACTAGAATACCAGTGGATCGTCAGGGATACTGGATAAGGTTTCTTAGTAGAGGTAGGTGCGTCTGGTGTTGACCGTTCAGTATATGAAAATACAAAAGAGGTAGAGGCGACCAATGGTGTAGTATGTAAAATTCAAGGTGCGGTAGGTAACAAAAATAAAGAACTCACATTCAGGAGAGCTATGACCAGCTCTGGTGTGAATCGCGTACAGCGGTATGATCCCCGCTGATGGGATATGTAGGGGAGGGCTCTCCGTCAACACCGTCTGGTGATCCAAAACTCAGAAGAAGAGATAGAAGCAACAATAGTGCTCTCAATTGTGATATAGTTGAATGTGCAATAGATAGAAAAAGAAACTCGCATTTGAGGGAGCTATGGCCAGCTCTGGTGTGGATAGCGTATAGCGGTATAATCCCCGCTTATTGGATATGTAGCGGTAGTACGTCCGTCAGCACCGTCTGGTAGTACAAAGATCCAAGAGAAAGGGATAAAAAGCAGCAATAGTGCTCTCAATTTTGATGGGATACAAGAGTAAAATAACAGATAAAATAATCCTCACAAAGATAGAGCAGAGGTACTGCTCTATGAATGGGCGTTGGTGGTATGATCCCCACCTGGGATTTCTCGTAGTACTGGAACAGTAAAATTGCCAGTGGGAGTAAAAGTAGCAGGAAAGTTAAAATGCCAGGAATAGGTAAAAAAAGTTTATAGTGCATAGAGTGTGCAATAAAAAGAGGATTGGGACGGTGAGGTAACCAAAAAACTTTTATTGTTCTAAAATACACAGTAAAATATAAGAGTAATAAACCATAAATGTGTTTCACCATAAGTGGCTTCTTCAGAATGGGATAAAAACTAATTAGCGCTGAAACTTTTTATCCCTTTCTGAAGAAGCCACTTATGGTGAAACCCTTCTCTTCCTATCAATGCATAGTTGTCTTAGCAAAATAGCTATGAGCTATCTTGTGAGACTAGGAAAGTATGGTGGAAAGCAATCCCAAAACAAAGTTTACATACAAAGAAGAAATAATGAAACGAAATAAAGTAAATAAATATGCGGTGACGCGCGTTTCACCGTTACTGCTCTTCCCGGTGAACAGAGTCTAAAGAGGCAGTAGTTTAAAAAGGGTGCCTCTATCAGTGATTGGACCTTCATTCACCAATCGGTTACTGAGAAGGGTTGTGGGTAGGACTCTGCTCACTTGCAGTTTTAATCCTTGACATGCTTTCTATATATAGAGAAACATGATCCTTGTCTTTTTTTGCTAAATGTTTCTATCGCGACTTGATAAGCTAATAATTGTAAATAGGCGAGATTCATGTAATTGGTGGTTGTAAAGTAACAGCTTCAAATTTATGGTACCAAGATAAGATGAATCAAATAATATATTTCAGTTCATTATATGTAATAAATATTATCCCGTTCCATGTGTATGGATATAACATCCATATGGTTTTAACCCTTCACATACTTTTTATATGTAAAGGAACACACTCCCCATCTTTCTTTCCACAAAATTCTATCAAAACTTAATGAGCTGATTGTAGCGGAGGAGCAGGGGTTAATCCAAGGGCTCTCCGCTGGGAACAAAGATTCAGCATACAAAATCACAGGAACACAGCATAATCCACCTCCCCAAGGACTAGACGACACATAGTCTGGGAGTCAACTGTCAGCTTTAATCACAGGTCTGTTTTTATGCATTTCTCCCATGCAAGGGAGGTAACTTTCATAATTATTACAGTAGCCAATTGTAACCCGGTCACCTCCCCTCACTCTCCTCCCCTTAGATTAGTCCTTAACCAAATTAGTGAATACAAAGTTTTCCCCACTTTCTGGATGTCCCCTAAATACAGGGGTACAGGGACAAATAAGGGGTCCCCTGGTAGGTCTGATCTGGGTGAGCAACATACTCAAAATTCACCCAGATCGGACCAGGGGTTCGGGAGTTACAGACAGTAACTCAGTCTATTTCTCACTTCTTTGTCCAGAGACTTCTGGAGCCAGAAGTGCATGAATCTGGTCATGTGTTCGGGTGGCATCCATTCTTCCGAACGGGGATGGCGAATGTTCCTAGGATCGAACATTCGGAGGCCAGAGTTGTCCAAAAATATCTCTGAACCCTCTTGTGGGTTGTCCATGGTTGTGGCCACAGAGTCCTGGGGCTCACCCAGGGTCTGTTCCCCTATGAGATAAGGGTCAGACTTGGCAGCGGAGTCCCAGTCGGACTCCTCCTGGTCGGAGGCAGCCGCCTGCCATTCGTCAACCACGGCTAGAGCGTGTGATGGACCTGCGTCCTCTTCCCCAGACACTATCTGCTCGTGTCTAGTCTGCGTTTAGCAGGGGCCTTTCCTTTGGATTTACGTGGTCCCATAGCCTCGCCTTTCCAATGGAGGAATCGGAGTCCTCAGAATCCGCCCCATAATGTCGGTCTATTTCAGTGAATTAAAAATAGCGAATGACATAGCCATCCATGCGATTGCCAGCCTTTGCACGAATCCCCTCGTTTAGGGGAACCTATCTACCGAACGCCGGGGCGTTCGTGTGTTTGATTCTTGCTGTTGGAGCATGCTGGAGGTCTCAGTGGTACTTGGTTAGTCGAATGCCCGGTTTGAGTTCCAGGCGTTCGACAACCAAGAACCGCTGTTCATGCGTAAGATGGCCGCTGACACGTGTTCGGTATGCGAAATGGCGGCCACACATACAGGCACTTAATTCCCTAGCAACATTGTATCGGTCCGTTAATTAGCAACACACGACCACCCCGGGGTGGTCTCACGTTCGGTAGTTTCGGCCAATCGTCTAAAACAGCAATATAACAAGAAAGTCCATTCGGTGAGTTATTCCCTTGGTGAAAAGTCTTTCATTCGCACAGAATAGTCAGTTCTAGTGGCAGGGTTTGCCACAATGATAGATGTAGATAGCCAAGATTGATGTGATTAGCTGCTGTAATCAAAGGTCCAATAATAATTAGGGACTCCTAAATGACTAACCTACTCAACAGGTATAAAACAAAATCTTATAACTTTTAGCTCTATTGATATAGCATATAACAGGATGTATCTTAATAAAACCATTATAAGTATGAATCCTTGTAAATGAAGTTTAGTGCTCTTTAAAAATCAACCCCCTTTAATGTGCATAGATGTATTGGATGGATCTTATTCTGATAAATTAGACATGCGTTACTATTCCCTTTTTCTTCTTCGTGTCTATATGGGAAAAAAAGTAAGTGAAGGGTTAAAACCATATGGATGTTATACCCATACACATTGAACGTGATAATATTTATTACATATAATTAATGTTAATATATTATTTCATTTAATTATTTCTTCTTTGTATGTAAATTTTGTTTTGGAATCGCTTTACCATACTTACCTAGTCCCACGAGATAGACTCATAGCTATTTTGCTAAGACGACAAGGCATTTATAACAATAGAAGGGAGGAGGGTATTCGAATTTTTAAGGGGTGCCCTCGAAGGCACAACAGAGTAGGGAATTTTACAATCTGCACTTCAGCACTCTGTTCCTTATCTGTTACACTATATCATTCTCCTCATGGCTAAATATGATATGATACAAATGTCATATTTACATCTTGTTACATTTTGGTGTCATACAATTGAAGATTATGCTAGCTTTAGTGTATTTATAATCTTAATTTTAGTAATGACAGGAGGAGAGTATTTTGCATAAAGCTCTCTTCACTAACTCCATAGCAGCAAAGAAAAGTGAAAACAATAACCAATTAAAATGCAATAGGAAGTGTAGTATTCATAGTGAATAGGCTCCTCCCCCTCTTTCATAAGCGACATCACAGACAGATCAAGTTCAAAACCATAACATCTGGAAACGTGCACCAACGAATGACCATCCAACTAAACGAAAATCCTCATGGAATGAATGCTGATCCAAATGGGTCCATCCTGAAAATGAACCGTAACACCACGAATTTAAACTGAAAAGAGAATGTGAAATAGGAAAGGCACCGGTCTTTAGACTGGGAGTGTGACGAGAGCAATCTCGCACCATTGCATTGGAGAAGCCTGGTTGCTCGCCTGTTGCCTTTGGATTGTGGCCCCATGTTGAAACACTTGATTTTCCCCTGCAAAGACATGAAAGCCGGGCCATTTGGTGCTTGCCTGTTTGAGCAGTGATACCCCAGATAGCTATGCCATGGAGCCCATTCGTATAATGAAAGACTATGGGAAAGACTTTGGCTCCATGGCAATTGAACTATATGTGAGTGCTCTGAGCGCCATTCAGTATTAATGTGCGCTCAGACCTAAGCTATCTGGGCATATGTTGCATGTCTGTATTTTATGTCATAAATGTAACCTTGTGTATTTTACTGTATTTTACTGTCTTTTTGCAGCCATGTGTTCAATGGAGTTTTGCCTCTGTCTTTGGAGATAATTGGATTACTTCACAATTATCTCCAGGATATAAGACTCTGTGGAACTGGTTTTAGGCAGAAAAGCCATGCTTCCTTTGGTCACAAAGGATTCCGATCTATCTTTTGAACCACTGGACCAATTTGTATGATTTTGACGTATGTTTGTATTTGGAGTATGCTGATTGTGTAAGAAAGTAAATGTAAGTTATATGTGAATGTGATGCATACTTTTCAAGTTATGAATAATGTGGGTAAATTGTATTTCTCTGCTTGTTATAATTGCATTACCCATTGTGTAAGGTAATTGAATCACAGGCAGAGGGGAGGATTTTGTGTGGTAGTGTCTGAGTGTATTGTATGTGTTTTTTTTTCGGTTGTGTTCCACAACCCTGTGGGTGGTACTAATGTGTATATAAGAACAATAAACCCACAGCTCTGTCTGTTCACTGCTTGACCCTCAACACGGAGCTTTGTCTCGTTCTTGGGGAGGATTTACTGTATGCTGTTCCAGTTTGACTGCAAGGAGTGTAAACCTATTCGTATGGATTTTCCTATTCAGCTGTTTACAGCATTTATATGGTTTCCAGTTCAGCGGATTGGTGTTCTGCAGTAGCTGTGCCTGTGTCTCTGGAAGGGAAGATCTTCTAAACGGCGATTTAACCCTTTTATGCCTGGGGGTGCCGTTACAGGGAGAAACAATGGAAGTAACCCAATGGAAATACTGTAGATGTCCCCCTATAGACTAGCTATTCCCCTAGTCAAGGAGGCTATCCCCAAGTCGGCCTTCGTCACTCCTTTTGGCTTGTACCAATTTGCCTTCTTTTGGAGCAACAGCAAAAAACAAATGTGAGGAAGGCTGAACTTGATGGATGCAAGTCTCTTTTCAGCTATGTAACTATGTAATTTAGAGTCATGTCATTCGTGTTGAAGAATGCCCCAG